TTCCCACAATCATGGAAAATCCTCTTTAAAAAAATCGGGAAGATTCGACACGGAAGATCATGGAAAAGTGATGGAGAATTGGGGAAAATAGAACTTCCCTGAATCCTGTTGTCAGTGGAAAAAAGCCCTAGAAATCAAGATCATGTAAGGGTTATTTTTGATGGGAAGCTTTGGATAAGTTAATGGAATAATGATAAATGTACAAATTGTCCTTGTCAGCCTGTTGTAGTGGCTATTTATCAAACGACTTTTCCCTGTGCAATTGCATTAAATGTAATGGAAGTTGTCATATTTTAGTCCTGGAAAGCACTGGGAAAGTCTGTGGGAACCTGTCCTGCTTATGTTGCTAATCAGCACAGCGCCCTCTTTGTATCATGCTCAAAGCCGATGGGCCTGATGGGAATGACCTTTTCCTCACTGTCCATAGATCTGCCTTGACATCACCGGTGCCATGAACCTGAATCTCCACTTGCCCATCGTGATTGGAACAGTCCCCCTCCGAGCGCCCCCTTACACCCCCTTTGACCCTCTTGCCGTTGGAAGCATGGACCTCGGCTTTGCCGGGATGTTCCCCTCCCCGCCAATTGCAGACAGTAAGTCTTCTTGCTCATTTCACCGAGATACCCACGTTGATCATGAGCTAAAGGGCAAGAGTTGACCTAGCTGGCAACTTTAGATACATAACCAAAGGCTACACATTTTTGATTCCAAAGAGTCATTTGAATGATATTTGTGTGATATTTCTTGCTACAACTTCATATTTTTCAACACTCCACAATATGTTCCTACCACATGTTGTGATCTTGGGCAAGTCACTTTATCCCTATGTCCCTCTCTACACCCAGGAGTAAATGAGCACCTGTGAGGGCAGATATGGTTATATTTAGCAGTTTGCGCCAACATGGCAGCATTGGGCTAGTATACTGCCCAAGGAGCTGAGATGGTTCCCAGGAACGTTCAGATGTTGTGAACCCAGTATGCAGGGATAATACTAACAGCGCCTTGGACACCTTCATAGTGGATATGTTTTGTACTTTACAAATGGCCAGTATTATTATTTTCATTACCACAACATGCCCCGCGTAGCCATGTTCAATTTCAACCGACTTCTCAGCTTGTGTATGGGAGTGTACAAACAGAGACTTAGCAATTTGTATACTGTATGGAAGTGAGTCACACCATACATGTACCTGTGTCTACATGGCCTCTGGCGTGCAAGTGGATAGCATCAGTCTGGAAAGCATCCATTGCTCAATTCACTTATGACCTTACTAAATCCATCAAGCTGTTCAGTAGCCGCCCTTTTTACATCATTCATGCACACTCTTGGGAAGGAAATGTGAACAAAAAGGTTGCTGCAACGGTACTCGTACATGTACCTGCATGTTTCTGAAGCTTTACAACAACAGTTTATCAATTTCTCGTTTGCCTGAGTCTGACAAAGCATCAATGATGCATCGCTGTAATCAGTCATGGAGAAAGCTTGTTAAAATGCAGTCATTTTAACATGATATATCCATTGGTGATAATATTAAAAGGCAATTATGAAGCCCTTCTATCCAGCAGTCCCCCATTGTTATCGGTGTTTACTGTGCCCATTGAAACCATCTCTGCTCCCTGCTGCCATGCCGGGCGCAAATGGCTGATCAAACGACAAACATCTATGCCTTCACGGGTACCCATTAACACCCCTGGTTGGAAAGAGGCAAGTAAGGGTAAATGTAACTTGCTCAAGGCAACAACATATACCCCATTGCTGGATTTTGACCCCTGACCTTTTAATCAGGAAAACGTTTACCACCAGGTGACACATCCTCAGTTCTTTATGTTTTTATGTTTTATTCATAAGTTGCCAAGCAACATGGTTCTAAAGAAAGCTCAGTGCACTTGAGGTGATCTAATTCCTATGTGTACAATTATTCATGAGGATAACCAGTTACGCATAAATCGAGCAGACTCAGTGCAGTGATGTTGATGAGGCCAGAAAAAATTCTGTAAAAAGTTAGACACTGTTCTTCCTTCTCCCAACCTTGCCCATTATAAGGGAGCAATCCCAAAGTTCTTTTGGGAGGAAGAATTGGGGAACGGTGAATAGGGCATTTTTCATATTTAAAAAAAAAAGTGTCCATTGTAGTTTGGATGGAGTGCATAAGTGTGTGAAATGAGTTCCCTTTAAGGTTTTGTTCATTTTATTTTAGGAACAACTGCTACTTTACCAGTTAACACTTAGCTGGACACTGAATCTATGTTTTAACAAAATGCCAAAAACAATTCCCACCTACCTACCAATTTTCAGATGCCATGTAATAAGAAATTGTAATTTTTTTTAGCTAAGCATAATTTATATCTGTATTTTTCCCTGTTATGTTTCTCAGTAGCCCCACCTAGTTACGCTGAATGCCTGTTTGGTGCTGTGGATATCCGTGATGATGAAACTGAAGATATGATGGGTGACACGCTGATGTTTACTCCCATGTACACCTACGTACCAAACTACGAGTTCAGACAACCGCCACCACCGTATTCACCGGTGAGTCCCATGTGAACCCAAATTTAGACAGATTGCAAGGAATCCTTTAAAATCCTCTGCCTTCTGGGAAACACTTGACGCATTCTACGCTTCGGTTTTGAAGGGACAGTAAGCCAAGTGATAAGTATAGTGGCCTTTGTTAATTCTGAAATTTCTCAAAAACATGCCATTTCACATCAATTTATTGTGCATGGCAGGTAAGTACTGTGAAGGACTTCGGAAACACAACGAAAACAAAAAATGGAGTGCTTTAGTTTTAGCTCTGGGGCTCCCAGAATAATGAAATGCAAGCTTAAAGCAGGGATCTGTGGATATGTACACACTCAACCAACAATGATATATGAGCCGTAGGGAATATAATGCCAAAATAACCAAACAAGGTTTTCTTTCCAACAGTTTTGTTAAATAAAAAAGACCCAGATATTTCTGGTATAACTTGGAAAGGACAGCTCTTCTGCGTCTCTATGCACAATATACTCATACGCAAAATGTACTTCAAAAACTCCATGCTGTTTTAATTGGAGAGTTCCATTTATTGTGTCCTACAGTTAGCCAAATACAAAAGACCTGGCTCCCCGCCCCCCATTCCACCCCACCCTCAAACTAACACACTCTTTCAATTTTGTGAACACATTCCGTCGTTGACCTCGTATTGTTCTCCTTTTGTTCACACTCTAACTTTTTTTGAATGTGTCCCAGTCTTGGACCATCGGTCTGGAATATTACCATATTTGGATGGCCTATTACGTCACAAATCTCGTGTAATGGGACCAATCACAAGGCTTGTTCTAGCAGCCTGCAATGGACTGTATGGGTGTTTCCATGTTACGGGGTGCTTTTCTCAAACGTTGCAGCTAACGAAAAATTGCAGTTGCAAAAATTTGATCAGCTGTGCAAAAAGAAAATTGACTACGGACATAAGGCCAACCAAAAAAATGGAAGTGTCTCTGGTTACCCAACCCAACATAGAAAATCACGCGGAACCTATATCTTTTTATTCGACAAATCAATAAAATATAAAAACTTCTGGTGCCTTGCCCCGAGCCTAATTTTGTGTACGCCGTCCTGGACATTGTATAATCTTTGGCTTGATTAATTTGTGGCACATGTATAGTATTCATCTGACACTGACTTAGTTCCTGTCACAAATATATGTGCCTCCCCCCCCCCCAAAAAAAATACAGTCCATTATCCAACCCTAATTCTTGGGCTATAAAAATTTGGAGTAAAAAAAATTTTTACCCAACCAACCACCCTAATTCATTTTCAGTGTAATAGGAAACACAACAAATTTTTGTTTGGCCGAAACTAGAAGTTCTAAGACACATTTGTACTGAAGGGATTTAAAATTTGTCGTTGGCAGCTTGAGATATTTAAACTTGATTTTGGACATAAATTGCTGTGTCAGTAGGGAAGGGTCACTCTACCCACATATGGACATGTATGTAATAATACTCTAGACTGACCATGTTGTACCCAATTGTTTCACATCCACAGTTTGAATGTGTGTGTACACGGGTACCAGTAGGCCCTTACTGTGTTCAGTGGACATGTTCTATTGTTACACAAATTAGAACGAGTCGTGAGGACATTTTTCTGTCCCCACAACAGTTTTGGTTCTTAAATGTATGTCCCCAGAGCTACGGAACAAGTACACCACTGCTTGTTACCAGGTTATGGGGACCACACACATGTTGAAATATACACGTGGTACATTATGGCGACCGAAAGCATTATGAGGACAAATTTTTGTCCCCACAACGTGGTTCTGACTTTCACAACACAAGAAATGATCCCCTTGATATGGGGAAGGCCAACCCTCGTACACACACATCATTGGTCATTCCCTAGATATTTGCTGTATTCAGATGAATTGGACAAGTTTGTGTCTGTGGTCTCTACCCTCAGACGGACCCTAATGCCTCGATGTCCCAAAGCTCATCTGATCACTACAGTCCCTGTCTGTCTTGACAAGATGGTGGTTCTACAGCCTAGCCACCTGGATAGTCATTGCCACAAGTGTGGCATGCAAACGGCCCGTAGTATGGTAGCAGGTAGGACGTTAACATGTTACTGTGCAATAAGAATTTTCATTACAGACTCTAGCCACATCTGACGCTCCCGCTACCTGCAAAGTTAAAAAACAATTGTCTGTACTTGTTACAACGGCGAATGTATGACTGCATTGTGACTGCACAATGTGACTGCTGCAAGTTTTACATAAGGCTGATTATTTTTCTATGCTTAAAGACATCTAGGCATTTAGGTCCATCCGTGTACCCGACTCGGTGAATCAATCAGGTGGGATGAATCCACAAACCAAAATGATCAATCTGAAGTTCCTCTTATGGCAAATGTCTTAACGTTATGCCTGGGGCTGGCCCATTCGGCATAAATGTGAGAAATGTGTCCATGTTCAAATCTGACTTACATTAGAGTCAGCGTGTGTGCAGGGTGAAAGCTGGTTTTGATTTCAATGTTAAGTGTTGTGCTGCCAAATTCCCAAAAGTGTGAAGGCATTTTTAACTTAAATTTTGCCTTGTTTCTTAACATCAAAATTACTTAACATTTGCATCATGGAAAAACCGGACGTATAGAGCTTGCTGAACATTTCACGTCTATCACACACCAATCCTTGGCAGCCAATATCTTCATGAAGCTTATGGTATTAATTTCAACAAATCAGCTTGGATTTTCCTTTCTGATAAAACTTCAGTTATTGCCTCAAACCATATGGTACTTTCATGCCTATTTAAGGCAACTGCTTGTTTTTTTTTTCTTTGAAAGAGCTGTTTTTCAGTGGGAGTCTGTATATTAAACTACAGCGTGAGTTTTGTAAAGATGTTTTCCTTATGTAAGTATGTACTGTAGGCAGGTTTTGATGTAGCAAAAAGAAATATCAGGTGACTAGACTACCAGTAGTTTTGGTAGCTGATTTAAGTTAATCAAATACTCGTACATAAAAACAGTCATTGTGTAACATTTGTGTAATAATGCATTGCATTGCTTTATTGTTAGAGTCAGATTGCATCTTACTCATGTACATGTAATGAGGCATGTAGCGTGCATGTGTGTACAGATTATACAAGGAGTAGAAAATTTGCTCCGATGACGTCTGTGGACCGCAGAGAAATTCAGAAATGCAATGAATTTAAGCTTAGTGATGGCATGATGGCCCTTTGCCATTTTATTTTTTCCGAAGAAAGATATGTGCGGCTAGAAACTTTTTATTATCCTGAGTTCAGCTGGCCAGGATATCATGAAATGCTGCTTTATCGTGATTCTGGTGTGACAAAATTAAAGGGGTAATCTTGGGAATGCTGCCGGCCCTGAGTGACTTGAGATAGTAGCCGTGAAATTCCTATTCCCAAATTGGCTGTATGCTTTCATATGCACTGTGGATTTTCACAAAGCTCAGAGCTGTTTGTTTGTACAGTTGGAGTCATTTCTCCACATAGTGCACAGTGGCAGCTGTAGTAAGCTTATTACATGTAATCTTCCCCTGACCCCTCTGCCCACCAAATGTTGCTGGAATGTTAGTATGGGGGCTTACTTTGTTTCAATGGTACATTCCCGTGGTGTGGTGCAGATACACTGTGAATGTAGTAAGTGCTGTTGGATCTGTCCAACTCTTTGTTCAGGTGTTACCATGGAAGAAATGCAAACCCAAGTGGCTGTGTTTGGAACCAGCTTCCTGGGCTATGGCTGCATCTTTGCCTAGATCTTTGCAACTGGCAGTAGCCTAGACCACTGATTTCTATACTGACTGGATGGTAGGCTATGCACTGATTGGCCTAGGCCATCGTCAAGCCACCAGGTAGCCATCTTACTTCACCTTAGTCTTGATACCAAGTCAGCACTGAATCGGTTTCAGTCTCCACACATGATCCACACCAAATCCATTCACAAGTACATGTATTTGTGCGGGGACATTGGTTAACATGTGGAAGATAAGTCGAAAATTGGCCAGTCATGTTGCTGATTTTAAAGCTATATTAGAGCCACTTCAGTGGATTTCAACTGAAGTTCAAAACAAATATCAAAGGACTTGTCATTAAGTCTAACTGCACCAAAAAGCCTAGTTTCACAGAATCCTTTCATACCTTATTGCTCATGTGGTGCATGGGGATTTTGTTAGTTTGCGATTTTGAGAAGAGATCGCTCATCTCTATGTGGGATTGATAACGTTTTAAGTGAATCAAGATGGCCGCTTGTGACCTCAATTTGTGACCTCTTCCAGTTTGTACAGAAATTAGTACCCTGGACACAAGACTCCAACACAGCCGTGGCTACAACACTTTCCCTGGTATGCAGTGAATCTGTGAAAGGTTAAAGTACAGTGTAAAGTGCTTTCATTTGCAGAACCGGGTCCCACACCTTATAGTCTTTAATATAGCGGAAGGATTGGAACCAACCTTTTTTGCTCCTGTAGGCCAGATCTTGCTCTGACTGCATAAGAATCAGCACCTATTTGGATCACAGCCTTGGTTTTTGCCATTGTCACAAATGGTCAAAAAGCCATGCCATCCACTTCAAGCACTGGGTGTACCCCTGGTGCCTGTGTTCAGATTTCACACCAGTGAAATGTTAAAGCACCATCATTGCCACTGAGGCTACAGAGGCGTCCTCAGTAGTGATGTAGGGAAGTCATAGGTGAGGAATTTCTTACTGATTTATGTCTAGTTCCCATAACTAGCCCTACCAGTAAATTAATTGATACATGACAGAGGAAATACATGCAGGCAAGACATTCTTCAGTTTGTTAAGGATGCCTGGATAATCATTCTCAAGTGCTGTCAACCCCACACCCAGGGGAGATAGGGTGGGAAAGTGGATAACGTCTGAAAACTATTTTAAAAACTACTAAATTAAAGAAACATAACAACATAATATAACCTTTTTCTGTGAAGTCATGATAGCATACATGTACTAGATTCTTATTCACTATTTTTGTAATAAATGTAAGTGAAAAAGTGTGGACTGAATTTCTTATCAACAAGTGGAAATGTTTGTTGGTTGAAGAGACACTTATTTTTGTAGGACTTGTACATGTAGTATTGCTTTAGTTTTCTAGTTTTGTGTACCTGGGTAGATTTTTTCAAGACAAGCCTTACATGCACAGTACATTAGGACCAGGCAAGTATTACGTGCACATGTAAGTGCATACAAGTGACATACAAGGTTTTTTAAGTGTTAAAAAGGTGTGGTATTTTGTCACGTCGAGTGAAACTTGACTCTCTGCATTAAGTAATGCACTTTCAGTTTAGGATGTTTGAAACATACATGGTCACTGGTGGAGCTATGTTTGTACACGCTGATGAGATGTACATACTGGAGTTTGCTTTTGTGAGGAAAGGAGTTGAATTTTTCATAGTTGTGCTCCCAACTTTTTCACTTTAATGGTACTGGTATAAGTCTTTGATTTGCTGCTGTACGTATAAAGTAACTGATGAAATTAGTGTGGACAACATTGTAGTTGGTTGAGAGGCAGACATGGGATTAAACTCCCCATGGACTTCTTCTTCCAAGCAAGCTGTCCTTTTTTTAAGAGAGCAGTGAAAGAAGGCCATTTCCAACCATTTGTCTGAAAGACACCTTTTTGGAAATTGCTGTTAATTTATTTTTTCTTTTTTCATTTGGGGAATTGCATGCAAGCGTTGACACAGTGCACACAGGTGCACAACTGCTACTCTCCCATGCGGTGTGGAACATCACATAGCTGCATTCAGCTGAATCAGAACATGCCCCAGGCACTGTGGCCACAATTCAGAGCATGATTCTGTGGCTTTGGATTGAAATTAAAATCGAGATCTTAGAATATTATTTTTCTAATAATGTTCGGGCTTCACTGAGCTTGAACACCATCAGTGTTAAACAGTTGTTAGGTACCTTCAGAAGTTTAAGCACTTTTATTACCTCAAACACACCATAATGCACATGTGACAACTGACAGACTGCACCTTTAACCATTGCTGCTGGAACAGGATAAAGTAATTTTTGTACTTTCAAGAACATGAGTTTTCATTTACTCTATGAAATTTGGTCATCACTCTATGTTACCAACATACCTACAACGGAAGTGCCACATCATCTAATACATGTACTTCATCAAGTACAATTTTCCATGACAAAATGGTTGATACTGCATAATTTCTGCGTGAAAGTTTACATGTATATGTACCGTATTTATACATGTCTCTATCCATTGATGGAGTAAATTTTAGAGGAAAAAAAGTGTTCTGTGGGTGTATTTAATCATAAGTGGATCAATTGAACATGTTGAAATGTGTTGACTCTGATGAAAATATTTTCCCGAGCACTGGCTGTCACTATTTTGACATTACAAAATTTAACGTTTGTATGCACATTAAATGACACACTTTTTGGGCAGTGCATTGTAAGCAGACATAACTTGGCATGTATATACACCGTAGCAGATTCAGTGTGTAGCACAGTCGGTGATGTCCTTTGTGAATTCCGTGCACAGCAGTATATATGTAATGTTATGTTCAATTGTCATATTGGTGCAGAACTGACGAGTTGAGAACCATTTGTGTACATGTGCATCATCATTTTGTGTTGCACTCACTATTGGCTATTTGAACAGTTTGTTGCAGTCTTGTTGGAGAAGTGCAACGTTGTGGAGTATGTTAACATCTAATAGGAGCAATTCACATTACTGCTGAAAATAAAAAAAATTGTCAATGGATCGGAAATCTCAAAAAGGGTTTTTTTTTGGGTGATATTTATACATGCAGAAACTTCTGCTAAAAAATCTGTATTTCTTGCCGAAAGTTAGGAATAATGATTTGCCGTTCATGTTACGTGTGAAACCAGTTGTCTGGAAGATACCATGCTTGGAAACTTCTGAGTTCTCTGCAACATTCTAAAACTACTTGAAGAGTTGCGTCCAACACTGTAAATAACAGGTCCATTATTCTGACAAGTCTGAAGCACCCCTTGCACCCCATCCACAACTGTATCCTAATGGCTTATTTTTTGCACCCAGCTGGATCGAATGACCAACTCCCCTTCATTTTGTTATGCTATCAGAACACCACTTTGGCTCTAGAAAAAAAAAAAAACTGCAGACATCAGACCGGGTAGCGCCTTGCAAGGTATTGGAATATATATGTACATGTATTTAAAAACTGGTTTTTAACTTGCACTTTTTAAAAGGGTATCAAAATATAAGCCTGTACGTATTTATGGTAATAATAGCATGTAAACTCTCATGGCTGTGCACCAGAAGTTATTTGTTGTTTTGTAATATTTATATTTTATTTTTGTTGACATACGCGATGCATGCTGAATGTACTCGAGTATAGACCAAAGGTATAGACTTATTATGGTTTGCGTTTTGTTATTACCAAAATGATGGCATTGTATGTATTGTTTGTAAGCTGGATAAGTATTTGATAACAAGATTGATGTCATCTTCATTTTGGTGTGAGTTTGTTTGTAAATGAACACTTTGTCTATTTTTTAACACACATTAGTTATCCTAGTTATCACATGAAATCCAGATGTGATTTTTCGGCCAAATCTTTTGGAACAGGCAGAGTTTCTGAAACCTAATTATATAAATTTGATTAATCAATGAAGACAATTTTCAAACAGCCCCAAAGGAACCAGTGGTTTTAATTACTCATCGCCGTTGCTGTTGTGTATTTTATGCAAGTTGCTTTGTAAACCTAAATTCGGTATAAGTTGTGCAATGTCCTGAAAACGTTGGATTGTGAATCTTCAGTATTACATCCGATCATTTTATTGTTGTCACCTGAGACTTGGTTTGTGTGGACAATTCTTGTCCATGTACATTAATGTATTTATTCACGCATCGCGCTGTTTTACTTTACACAGACCAAAGGGTTCAGCGTATTACCGACACGTATTCTTGAAATGTTTGCTTTTTGAATAAAACAAGTGAAAACGAAGACCTGGCTGTTATGTTCACAATGGCGATTCTATTTATTTGCCCGTGAGTAGTGTGGTCCATAGGTATGTTTGTTTTGCACGCGTTGTGTGGACCTGTGCAAAAAAAGTCCACATTTAAACTGTTAGAGCGCTGTTTAGAGTTTAAACAATTTTTGTACCCAGCGTTTTAACACGTTTAACCTACGTGTATGATATGTTCGTTGAAATGTGTGCAGGAAATTGTTTTAATTCTAAACGCTTTCCCATGGTATATTTTCAGCTTTTTAAAATTTGCTGAGCATTTAAACACATTCCTAAACGCATACCCTCCTTCCTCCATGGGTAAACGTGTATTTTTAAACAGTGGGTACCAAAAAAGTGTTTAGAAATGTGTTTAAATTCTGGGTGAGGACGTTGTGTCTGGGACTTACACGTCCTCAGGTATGGGGTTTTTATATCTCATATATATTGTTGTATTATTATTATTAGAGTAAACTGAATGCGAACGACACTCTCCGTTTGCCTGAGGCAGTTGGAAGAACTTCAACAAACACGGAGAAAAAGCTGTAAAGACAGACAATGTTTAGAACATTTTCAACGGCTGTCGTTCGAAGCTGAGTTACGTGGCTGAATCCAGCTTCTTCAAATTTGTGTGGTGTGTGTGTGACAAATTGAACTTTGAATTCGAATTCAAGCATGGTCTTATTTTTCTGGCGCACCTGCTTGTAGCCCTGTGACTGTACATTAATCATTAGCCCCTGGTGAACGTTCTACATGACACAAATAGTGAAACTTGTTCTCGGGACTGCAAGTTGAGAGACCCATGTTAGTGTTTTCAACAGCTCTCCCACATCAGGCACGTACAGGGGGCCTTCTCGCTCGACAGCCCCCGCGTTATTCAACCTTTACGCGCTCTTTCTAGGCCTATTATCCCTCTTGTTATCGTTTCTTGTTTACTTTGGGCTTGGCTGTTGAATTGACAAGCCTAGTTCCCGGACTGATGGACCCCTACGAGTGTACACAACAGCTGACTAAAATACAAAATGGCGTCGTGAAATTCATTTCAAGCAACTTTGACAGATCAAAGAATGTGAGTGTTTGTTACTCTGTCTGAGTAGGGTTCTCTGTGGGGTATTGTGAAATGCACACCAAATCCGCCCGGATTTGGTGCATTCGTATCGACTTGGAGCTCCTCAAATCTTTTCATATAATGAACCGGCTATAGCTCGGAGCGGATTAGTAAAAACAGCCTTCAGATCCAACTTTTCGACAAAAGACTTCATGGATGACACTGGACATATGCAACTGAGCTGCTTCAGTTGAAAAGACACCGTAAAGTAGTCCTTGACTAAGGCCCGGACAGTATTTCCAACACCATAGTACTCCAAGTTTAGCAAGGAGCCATCGAACAAGACGCCGTTTAGACTTAATGTCAACCTGGATATTCGGTTTGGTCGAGTGAGTATGACTAATTCCTTCCACTCTCAGCTTTTCTTTCCTTGCCATTCCGAACACGAATTCCTTCCATCAACATGGAGGAGATTTCCTTTAACCGGCTGCTTTAGACCTGCCATGTTACAAGGTGCCTTGGAGGTTGTGTGTACAAAGCTGGTGCACGCCCCTTGAAGCTTTAAAATTATAACGCGTTTAAGAAACGGTCTCCGTTCTTCAAAGGAAGCATTGTCCAAGTCACTAGGTCACTTCTGATGTATTGTGCGCACATAAAAGCTAAAACCAGGTATGATTTTAATCCGAGTCTTCTGTGATAAATGTACTGCACATGCGTGGACACATAACTGGGAAAGTTAGATGACAACCGGATTGTGTTTCGGTTTGGTTCTTGTAGTGTGTAGTCGATTGTCATTTTGTCAATTTGATTGAAGTTGGCAATTGATTGGTTACTGGTTTTGAGGGTTGGCTGCACGGATGAATTCATCATAGTTTGATGGGGTAAGAAGTGCAGTGGTTTAATTATTGGTAGGTCGGTCGGTTTTCTGACCTTTGTTTTTCTTTGGATTGACGTATTTTAGTGAGATAAATGGTTTTTAGCATAAGTGTCTTATTTTCTATCGGGGAAACTCAGTTGATGGGAATTTTCTGACCACCAGATGATGTTCATGTAAACAGAAAGCATGAGTGAAGCCCCAACATCTCCAGTGAGTCTGAAACACGCGGATCCTTGGAACAGCATGAGTCTGTCTCGTCTGACATTCACCGGTAAGGATCCAGGCATCACCAAGACAATCACGGCTCTGGGCATCCTTAGTCTCATCTCGATGCTCCTGGGAGGTCTATCCGTGCTTCTCCTCATCCAGCTTAGCATCAGACAGGATAACCCACCGACGGCTGAAGCAGCGTCCAAGCGGATTGGTGGGCTGGTATGGATGGAGCGGTTCCTAGAGGCCAGCGTGGTGCTAGCCAGCCTGTGCGTCATGCTGTGTTTCTGCAGCGTGGTGTCATGCACGGCCCAGTGTTATTTTGCAGCCAAGATGCTGAAATTACCACAAGGAGAAGAAAGGTACGCTGTCAGAAATATGCACCCCCCAGCATGGTTTTCGTGAACATTTTAGTTTTCAGCTCTTACGGTTAGAAAACGTTTCTCTATCAAATCCTATTGAGTTTTATCTTCTCATCTCGATACAGGTGTTAAAGAAGTAACAATCTGACAAATTATATTATATATAACGGGTTTGCCCTTACCCAACGTATATTTATAAGCACTGCATGCTCAGTGCCTGTCCG